ACATGGCATTGTAATAAATAATACTGAGAGATTACATGTATTTTTCACCCAGTTTTCCCCACTGATACTATCTTATAAAACTACAAGAAATCCTGGTCAAGAAAAAAACCAGGTCAAGAAAACAATCAGGATACTGACATTTATATAATCAAGATACAGAACATTTCTGTCTCCACAAAGATCCCTCTTGTTATCCCATAAAATTAAAAAAGCTGCTCCCTTTTCCCTCCTTTTCTCCTGGAAACTACTAATCTCTTCTTCATTTCCTTAATTTTGTCAATCTGAGCATGTTATATAGATGAAATCATACAAACAATCATATTTGGGACTGTTTTTTTTCCCTTCACTTGGCACAACTCCGAAGATTTATCCACATTGCTCTCTATATTGAAAGCTTGTTCCTCTGTATTGCTGAATATTTATTCCATAGGATGAATGGACCACAGTTCATCTAGCCATTCACCCTTTGAAAAACATCTGGGCTGTCTCAGTTTTTGGCTATTATAAATAAGGCTGCTGCAAATATTTGCAGACAGGTTTTTGTGTGAACATTATTTTTTATTTATCTGGGATAAATGCCTTGGAACAATTGTCTAGTGAAATTTAATTGCTAGGTCGGATAGTAGTATATGCTTAGGTTTTAAAGAAACTTTCAAAATATCTTCCAAAGCAACAGTACCACTATACATTCCAACAGCAATGTATGAATGATCCAGTTTCTCCGCATGTTTGCCATCATTTGGTGCTGTCACTTTAAAAACAAAAATTAACCATTCTGATAGATTTGTAGTGATACTCTATTGTAGTTTCAATTTGCATTTACCTATTGGCTACTAATGTTAAAATATTTTCATGTACTTATTTACCATCTGTAAATCTTCAGTGAAATGTCTCTTCATGTCTGGGCCCACTTTCTGATTGAATAGTTGTGTTTTTGTTATAGTTGTTATTTTTAACTATTTAGTTTGAAGAATTCTTTATATATGAATGTTGGTCCTTCGTCAAACATGTGAATTTCAAATATTTTCTTCTAGACTGTAATTTGTATTTTTAGCCTGAAAACGGGGTCTATTATGGAGCAATAGTGTATCCTGCTATGGACTATGCTTTTGGTATACAGTTTAAGAAATCTTTCCCTAGCCTTAAATCCCAAAGATTTTTTTCTAAAAGTTGTATAGATTTACGCTTTACATTTAAAAGCATGATCCATTCTGAGTTTGTATAAGGTGTGTGGCTTAAGCCAATATGATGCTTTTTTTTCTTGTGGGCTTTTGGTTTTATTTTTTGCCTATGTATATCTGATTGTTCTGGTACTAGTTGTTGAAAAGACTGTCCTCCATTAAATTGCTTGTGCACGTTTGCCAAGAATCTATTAGGCATAGTTTTGAAGGCCTATTTCTGGGTTCTCTCTTCTCTTTCATTGATCTATGTGTTTGTCCTACTGCCAGTTCCAGTCTTCATTACAATAGCTCCCGAAACCTAATTTTTCTAAAGTTCATGATCAGTTTAATACAGCAGACTTTTCAAGCTTAAATTATTTAGATAATGTTATGTTAGAAATTTTTAGTATAATATTTTAGTTTATAAAAGTCAAACATTTTTCTTACTATAACATATGATTTACAAAATCCCAATGAATAAAGGTAACTCAAAGCAAAAGATAAGAAAACAGGCCAACATCTACACTAGGAAAAGAGGCCTTTGACTAAAATTCCTCTGTCTTTTACAGCATAAATTACTTACGTCAAAAAATATAACCTAAAAAATATACCACATATATATTCCAAAAGACTAAAGCCATCAAATAGCAGTTCTTTCAAACTGTGAAATTCCATGTGTTCAAAAGGCTTTCAAAGCATTATATGAGGCTTCATGCCTTAAGTCCATAAATTTTTATTGTTCATCTTAAAGCTTGTAAACTTCCTTGAATGATTTCCAATCATTTATTCTTTACAGATACTAATCTGCTGAATTGGCTTTCCAACATTTACTTTGCTTTTTAACTGTGCAAATGATATCTAAGTACAAAACACTCAACAATCATACATATTGCTCTAATTGTGCTTCAGGGCTCACATGGAATAAGGAAACACTAATTTCAATTAGAACATTTTATTTTTTCAGAATTAATTTCTTGGCTTGCCCCATTTGCAAAATTTTCTACAACCCCAAGCTGACATTCAAATACCACCAAAGAATCCCTAGACCATGATCTGAGTCAATGTTTTCAGCAGGTGCCTTCCCAATATACACATCTGAAGCTCAAGGCATAGCCACTAGAAAAGTCTCTAATCTGTACACACATGAAACACTAAAGCATATGGTAAGGCTTATCTTGAAACTTTCACAAGCCCACATTTGTTGGATTTGCCAAACTCTGCCACATTATCTTCTGCCAAGAGATGGACTTGGATCAGGACAGGCACTTGGCAAATTGTCCCAATTATTTGCTATATAGATATGAAAGATCTTTGGACATTACCTTCAAACACCTTTTATGCAAAGTAGTCATTACTGTCCTCCTGTAGTTACTAGATATGCCAGATTTTGCTTAGGTGAGTTATAGCTGAGTAAAATTATGAATTGTCACCCCAATGCATCACAAAGAAAAGTATTCTCAAAGAAGATCACTCCTTTACCTGTTTGACATCATATGCCAGCAGGACATACTTTAAATCTGGTGAAACTGAATGTCTTGATGCTTTGAAGGTTACCTAGAAAAAGAAAATAAAAAGTTATATTTAAAAGCTTTTTAACATGAACTTGGATGTATAAATATATTTTAAAAACTCAATTATCATTGCACTATAAAATGTCATTCTCATTTCTTTTGTATTATATATATATTTGCACGTATGTCTGTATGATTATTCGGATGAATATAAAAAACTTAAAGAGGACATTTTAGACATTTCAGCAAGAAAAAGTTTGCTAATATATCTTTCTATATGTTATCTCTTAAAGAATATGTTATTATTATTATTATTATTACTATTTACTTTGAGACAGATTCTCGCTCTGTCTCCCAGGCTGGAGTGCAGTGGTGTGATCATGGCTCACTGAAAGCTCCGCCTCCCGGGTTCACACCATTCTCCTGCCTCAGCCTCCGCAGTAGCTGGGACTATAGCGGCTCGCCACCACACCTGGCTAATTTTTTGTATTTTTTTTTTTTTTTTTTTAGCCAGGATGGTCTCGATCTCCTGACCTCGTGATCCGCCCACCTCGGCCTCCCAAAGTGCTGGGATTACAGGCGTGAGCCACCACCTCCTGCCAATATTTTTATTATTTAAAAAATTCAAAGGCCTATTGAAATTCCTGAGTAACCAAAATGCTTTTATATTTGCATGCTAGATTAATCAAAAGGAAAAGACTATTGACATTCTGCTTGTCATAATTTTCTGTCTCTGTGTTTTTGTATTCTTACTGGTTGAATGTTTATATTTAAAGAGGACACTAACATTAAAGGCAGACTCTTTAAAGGAAATCCCCAGGGTGAAACAGAAATACATAACATTGCATTTGATGTCAAACAAAAACTACTACACTGTACTTGACTAATTTTGAGCCTATAATAATTGAACAAATTTGAGGACAGAAGGAATTTAAACTACACAAAGAAACAAATACATTCAAGGTAGAGAAAAGATTTCCCTTGAATTAGAGCTACTTGTCTAATTCATATCTACAGAGAGGGCAAGCACATTGAGTTGATGAATCAAAAACCTCCAAAATATAAACAAAAAAAACACATTTGTATAAAATTTTAAGCACAATAGATACTTTGCATGGTATTTGCAGAGAAATATGTACATAAACAATTATGCACACCTTATAGTTTCCATAAGACTGCACTCTGTAGAGTCCAGAAAAGTGTAAAGTCAGAGTTTCTCTGTTTTGTGTTTGTTTGTTTGTTTGTGTTTGTTTTACATAGGGACCCCAAAACACAATGGATAGGATAGGAAATTCAGACTAATCCATATTTGGCAAGTTTGGGTGGTATAATAAAATATATTTGTGGTCTCTTCTATGGTTCTTGGCACAGAGCTCCAAAAACCCTTGAAATTTCCTGAGTGATAGAAATGTCTTTTGTTATTCACAGCAAACTTCTTTCCACTTTATTGGATTTCATGCTAAAGCGACTGCAACATCAGAGGACTCTTTGTGAGGGGAGGGGTTAGCTTATAGTTTCAGGATTAACTGGTCATCAGGTCACATCAATCATGCAATTACAAATTTAGAAATTTCAGCCCCATTCTAAGATCTGGTAGAAGAGCTGGAGATCAGAGTTCAGCAGCTGGCCAGTGATTCACTAAATCATGCCTAAGTAATTAAACCTTGCTTAGAAACTCTGAATGATAAGGGTTGAGGGAACCATCTGGTTGGTAAACATACGGATGCACTGGGAGGGTGATGTGCCCCAGCCCAAAGACAAACAGCCTCCTGTTCTGGGGACCCCTTCAGGCATCACCCCATATATCTCTTCATCTAGCTGTTCATTTGTACCCTTTACAATAAACTGCTACTCATAAGAATGGCTCTTGTCTGAGCTCTCTGAGTTATTCTAAGAAATTCTCCAGCCTGAAAAGGGGTAATAAGAACCCTCATGTTTGTAGCCAGGTTGGACATAATTCCGTACCGTTGGGACCAGGGACTGGCAGCTGGCATCTGAGGTGAGGACAGACCAGGGGAATTGAGCTCCTTAACTGTGGGGTCTATGCTGATTCCTGGTAATTAGTCTCAGTATTGAATTGAATTGTGGAGCACTCAATTGGTATCAGAGAATCATTTTTGGAATGACATAGCTTGTTAATTCCTGAGCCAGATATGCAAGAGAATGGAATGCTCAGGGAGACCTCACCATGTGACAATGCTAAGGTATGGGAGTTTACACCTTTCTTATACAATCTACATATAAAGCATTTTAGAAGAAGATGACAGTGTTCACTGGCAATAATTCACGTCAAGAATTTTGTTTTTTTTTTTATTTTTTAAAAGATTCATTTAAATAACCATGAAAATAACAACATTAGCAGCTACCATTGATTGGTCATCTATCACGTGATCTGCAAGTTGCTAGGACCTTTGCAATTATCAATGATCTTAAATAGTCTTCAGGGCAATACTATGATACGACCTCATTCTCTCTCTCATTACTTTATTGTATATTGAAATTTGATAGAAATTAACCTATGGGGAATTTGGGGTGACACTAGATACACAAAGCATCCAACATTATAGTATCAGGAGGTGTATTGCTTTTAAGGAAATGTTTAAGGGGACAGTATCAAATGGTGTGCTGTTATGTAAAGACGGGTAGGGCAATATCATCATGCTTGTCCTACAATATTGCAGTTGTTATACCTTTCCCAAGGTCAGAGAGAAGCATGCATAACAAGACAATCCAGGAGGGCCTCTTTTCATAAGCCTTGCATTATCTCACTAGCAGTAGGTTTTATTGTTTTTGAGCGCTTCTCTGTCTAAAGTCTGAATTAATTTAAAGGAAATCTCACCTCCCTCGTCCTCATCCACCCTCATGTGATGTTCTTCACACAAATTAACTTCACGCTTTCACAGGTGCGTCTGTGCCTCCGGTGACAACATTTTAGTATCTTTTACAGTTCCTACAATTATCCAGTCTGGTACTTTATTAATTATCACTCTACTGCCTCAAGCTTATGCAGCACACAAACTGGGAAACCTTCCAAATATCTTTTCAGGGGCCCAAGCTGCTGAACCTTCTCTGAAATTAAAGAGTTGTGGACAGGTCACTGATGCTGCAGAGAAACTTACTGATGATACACGAATAAGAAATGCATCTTGGCAGTTTAGGCAACAGGACAGAAGATGTTGGAAATCTTACATCAATCCCTCTTAGTTTATGACCTTAATGTTATCATCTATTGCATTTGGGGGATTAATTCTTTCTAGCAGCCACAGGACACATCTTAGTCAACACCGATTCTAATTGTAGACATGAAGTAATTTGGGTTTAATTTCAACTTAATATGACTTCAATTTGTGGTTTGGGGAAGTTGATTATTGCCACTAATGCTATTACAGTATTTTCATATATAACAACTTAATTACCATTGAAATGGAAGGATGCAAAAGTAATTTCCACATGTGTTCATTGCCATTACTCAGCAATGGTGCCTGCCTGTGCAGTTTCTGACATCCAACATCAGTAGGTACAAAGGGCAAAAAAATGCATGAATACTGACATCTATGTACATTCTGCTGAAGGCAAGCAAGGTATGATAAACAGAGTAAAGTGAATATGCAGGTGATTAACTAGATGAATTAAGCAAGAAAGACAAGGTATTTGATCAAGTAGAGAAACAAATGTATGCTTTCAGGCAGCTTGGGAACATTTTGTGGTACCTCTTTATGTATCATTCCATTCAAGTGAATCTTATGTATTGAACATTCATTGTACAACAAGACCCCTGGGAGACACTGAAGGTGCCACAAAGTTAGGAAACCGAACCGAGTAGGATGTTTTCCATTCCATATTGTTCAGGATAAGACAAGTGTCATGAACCTCTTTAGTCAATGGTAGAGCCAGGGTACAAAACATGGATGCTTTAAACCACTAGGTATGCAGAGTAAGAATGAAGCTATCTGCATAAGAATCAAAGAGAGATGGAGTAGTCAGACTGCCTATTTAAAAGAGCCCAGTAGCTCCTCAGCTCCAGATACAACGTCCTGTAGAAAAATACACACAGTGTTGCTAGTTTTCCACTTTTTTCAAAAAAAGAAAGCAAAATTTAATTTACAATCTTATAATTTTAAAATTATGATTCAATCCTAAATATACTTGGGGTCCAGATTCTTTCTGGAGCCTACAAGCTTGCCAATTTTTGGTAAAGTAATAATTGCCATAAGGATGGGTGAGGAGAAAGAAGACAATGCTATGAGGTTTAAAAAGCAGAATTATATTCTTTTCATCTATTTGGTGGTAACGTAAGAGAAAACCTTATCTTCCAGTGTTTTTGAGTTAAATGCAGTTACAACCTACAATATGAGAATAACCTTCAAAAAATGCACAAGTAGCTTAAAAACAATTCCTGGGAAGATGAGGGATGATTCCATAGATTACTGCTATTATGTATGAAGTACGCATTACGCCAACATGAATATGCCAGTGCTTATTACTGTTTTCATAAGTGGTAAAACTGAAAGCCAAGAAAGAAGCAAAATCAGGTTTGAATTTAGAATTACTACCTTGGCAACTGGGTGAAAAACTAGTTAGATTTGATGACATCTTGAGTTCATGACAGCTGGTAAGAGGCTCATGACAATCCAAGAAAGCAATGTTAAGAAGTTAAGGAAGAAGCAGAGGCAAAGAGTGAAAGGGACATGTACAGGGGAGGTTGTGAATAAAGTACAAAAAATAAATAAATAAATAAGGATTAGATTTTAAGATGGAGAAAGAAGAAAGTATACAGAATAACTCCAGGTTTTCAAGTTTTTATCATTGGGTGAATGTTGCTTTTGTAACATTCTCACTGGGGAAAATAAAGAAAAACAGGTATATTTTGAGGAAAGTTTTAGACATCCAAATTTTATATACATTATTGTTATAGCTCCTGACGGATAGCCAATAGAAATGTGCAGGACTTGTGGATAAAAAGCCTGCAGTTTAAGAGAGATGCCAGAAAGCCTCATCTTTAATCATTTATACAGAATACTAGACAAAAGTTTATGTTCAATG